AGATATATAGTTTATAACAATTTAGTATATAAAAAAGATAAAATTAACAATAAATTATTATTGCCAGAAATAATTGTTCAAGAATTGATCCAAGAAATACATGAAGTTTATGGTTATATTGGATCTAGAAAAATTATGAAAATGTTACAAGAAAATTTTTATATCTACAAGCTTCGCAAGAAAGTAGCTAAAACTATAAATCGCTGTGATCTCTGTCAACGTACGAAATATTATACAAAAAAGATATCATCAATAATGCAGCCTATATTGGTTGAAAAACCAAACGATCTATTATCTATAGATTTTTATGAACCATTGCCAACTTCACGAGGAGGAGTCAAATACATTTTAATAACAATAGATTGTTTTAGTAAATTTGTAGTCATGTATCCTATAAAATAATCAATTACATACATTACTATAAAAAAAATATTTAAACATTATATATCAAATTATGGAAAACCATTAGCAATCATATGTGATCATGGAACACAGTTCACAGCTAAAGCATGGAAAGAAAAACTTTTAGCTAACAATATAAAATTAATATTTTCTAGTATTCGTCATCCACAAAGCAATATCGTGGAGATAATTTATAGAGAACTGGGAAGATTTTTAAGAGTATATGCAAATAATAATCATAAAGGTTGGGCTCCATTAATTCCCAAAATACAACAAATAATGAATTGTGTATATTATGAAACGATTGAAATAACTCCTATAGAAGCGCACCTCCATATAAAACTAGATAGATTTTGGCATCGATGGATACCTGATATCAAAACAAAGGTACCAACAAATTACAATCAAATAGAAGGTATCAAGAAAAAAATGCACTATAACTTATAAAACGTGCAAATAACATTAATAAAAATATACGTCATTATCAATATAAAATTAATGACTATGTATTATTACGGAGTCAGAACATAAGCAATAAAGAAGAAGAAATTATTAAGAAATTCTTAAACTTATATAAAGGCCCGTATATAATTAAATCTATAATAGGCTTACAATTAGAGGCACGATCATCGAAACAAGTTGGTCTCGCGCTCGCCTGTTAGCTCGTGTCATCATCTTCATAAGGTGAGCAGCAAGCCCACTCACTCTAATTTTCGACACCCTCGTCGAGATGGACACGAAAAACGTCCAAGACATCATGATTCCAAGTCATCGCGCGATGTACGCCGCCGTAACAACAAAGGTTACGATGTATTGCACGACCGCGAAGTCCGCTTCTCTAAAAGGGACAAGGGTCGAAAAATCGATACGAGATGTCAGAGTGCAGAGCGTTGCTCAAGATATGCGCCACGCAACTATTCGCGCGACTCTTTTTGTTGCTTCTTACGAATCGCACCGCGACCGCAAAAGTTCAGAGCGCAGTCCAAGAGGCTCGCCAAATAGCGGATCAGGAAGTGAATCTCTTTATGATTCGAGCGATTCCCGCGGCCGCTCTTATTCTTGTTCAACCTCTGAAATTTCGAGCCCTTCAAGGTCACGCAGTTCTTCAAGCCGATCAAAGTCTCACAGCCGATCACAGTCTCGCACCAGTTCAAAGTCCCGCAATCGTTCTACATCTCGCACGAATAGCAAGGGACTTGCTGATGCTGAAACGTCAAAAGATAAACCAACTGATGGTGTAACTACTGAAAGTAAGAAAGATTTATTAAATCTTATGGTGGAAGCGGTTGACTCCAATAAAACAGGCCCGCCCATTGACTCTGAAGCAGCTAAACTCTGCGAAAAAATATGCTCCGAAGGTCTCAACAAGGAATTTAAAGATAAATTACTCAAAAAATATCGAGTTCCTGAGAATTGTTTGTCATTGAGATCCCCTAACCTTAATAGGGAAATTCAATCAATTCTCTCGAAGGTGTATCTAAGGAGAGATAAATACCAAATGGTTATGCAAAGCCAGTTGGGTTTCGCTATTATTGCTCTAAGTAATGCGATGACAATTATACTGTCGTCAGACAAAGCTGACGAAGAGTGTGACCAGAATACAGCAAAAGAAATGCGTGAAAAGAAAACTAAAGAAATTTTTATTTTCTTATCAGATTGCGCAAACATGCTGCTTGATTTACATCATGAAATTTCGTTAACAAGAAGGGCCTTCATTAATCCAAGTCTCAAGCAAATCGTATCAAACGTGGCTGATGATACAAAGGTCGATTCCCTGTTGTTTGGCAAAGACTTCCCAGACCACGTGAAGAATGCCAAGGCCATGGAGAAGACTGGCAAAAACGCCGCTAAGTTCGACAAGCAAGGGAAACGACGCGATTATTTCAGATTCAAGTCAAGTTTTCGTGGTCGTCGCAAATCAACTTTAAACTCAAGAGGCCCCTACAAGCGGCGCGGGAGCTCCCGTCAGGAGAGGGGCCAAGGACGATCCAACAGCAGGAGCCAAGACCAGCAGAACGACCAGCGAAAGTGACAGTAAGTCGTCTCGCTGGCCGAATCGGTTTTTTCTTTGATTCGTGGAAAAATATTACAAACGACAATTTTATCCTGCAAATTGTCGCGGGTTACCGAATTAATTTTTCTCGATCGGTATACCCAAAAATACCACCAAAAGAACCAAATTTTTCTATTCACGAAATGCACACTTGCAAACAATCCGTGTACGAATTATTAAAAATAGGTACAATTTCTCAATGTAAGCCATACAAAGGTCAATTCATTTCTACTTATTTTCTACGAGATAAGCCAGATGGGGGAAAAAGATTTATTTTAATCATGGTTTGATGGGTATACGCACAGTCGTAAATATATAGTTACGATCTGTCGAAGCCGTAGTAATCACAACAGCTTAAAAGAGTCGCTTGTGAATATTAAAGTCATCGAAGATCCAAGCTGCGACTGCGGAAAAGAGGCTCAAATCCTTAATCATGTGGTGTGGCAGTGCCCAATTTTTGAAAAGGAGCGAAAAAGCATGGGGGCATCCTTGTATACAAAGAAACTGTATTTACCAATGGATATTAAATGTATACTCAGCCAACCTAATAGCGAAACTATGAATATTGTCTACGAGTTTATTAAGAAATGTAAAATAACCGTATAATCAAGTGGTACCTTAAATTAAACTGACCTAAACACTCGTGCATATATATATATGCTCCTTTTTATACTCCTATTAATCATTCATTTTCCCACTCTGTATGTAGCTAAATAACCCTTGTAAAAAGTGTTAATAAAGCATATATTAAAAAAAAAAAAAAAATCTTGTAAAATTAAATGAGTTTATTAAAGCACCCCATTTTAAACTAGAAGACATTAAGACAGCATGTAAACTGATTACGAAAGGTTGTTTTCTCGCTAAGTTAGATATGAAAGATTCATATTTTTTAGTTCCAATACATAAAAAATATAAAAAATTTTTGAGATTTTCTTTTGAAGGAAAACTTTACGAGTTTAATGTTCTGCCATTTGGCCTTTGCATAGCTCCTTTTATTTCTACAAAACTGCTCAAGCCCGTTATTGAAAAACTTAGGTCTATGGGTTTTTTCTCCGTGATATACTTGATATACGTGATATACGTGATAGATATATAGTATCTAGATGATATTTTACTCATTGCTCAAAATAAGTTTGATTGTATAAAAAATCTTACAGCAACGCGAAATTTTCTCGAATCATTAGGTTTTGTGATAAATGAAATCATAAGCCAACAAGTACCATCCCATATTTGCGAATTCTTAGGATTAATTATCAACACGCAAGACTTTAGTTTGAATCTACTCGATCGCAAACGTAAGAATATTCGAAATATTGTTTCAAATTTAATGATAAAAAATTCGTCTACGATTCAAAATGTAGCCGAAGTCATCGGCGTATTAATAGCAGCATGTCCTGCAGTAAAATATTGTTTTTTATATACAAAAAAATTAGAACGTGAAAAGTTCTTAGCTCTCGAAGAAAACGGAGGCAATTACGAAGATTCAATGTATATTTCGAACGATATAAAAGATGATCTTTTATGGTGGAAGTCGAATGTCATGATATCTACAAACCCTATCAGGTTACATGTTTTCAAAATTGAAATTTTTTCCGATGCGTCATTAACAGGTCGGGGTGCTATTTGTCGTGGTGTAAAGGTACACGATTGTTGGAGTAAGGGAATTTCGAAAGAGCATATAAATTTTTTAGAATTAAAAGCCACGTTCAATGGGTTGAAATGTTTCGCTAAGCACAAAAAATCTTGTGAAATCTTGCTGCGTATTGATAACACTACGGCAATTGCCTACATAAATCGTATGGGTAGTATTCAACATCTAAAACTAAGTAACTTGACTCGTAAAATTTGGCAATGGTGTGAAGCGCGTAATATTTATTTAACTGCGTCATATATAAATACAAAAGACAATATTTACGCTGATAAAGAATTTTACAACCTGAAACTGAACGGGAACTAGCTGACTGGGCTTTCTCTTCACTAGTAAACAAGTTTGGTATTCCAGAAATCACATGATTAAACGAACTTACTTGTAAGTGAAGTTCTATCATGATTGTATGAGCCTCTTCCGAAATGATAAAACATGTAGTCCCTTCGATTCCTATCGACCTGGCTGAATTTTCACAAAGTAAAAAGCTCCAAACCGCTGTGAAGCTAGGTATTGGTGTCATGCACTCTCTTGTTATCAGGCGAGCGGTGACGTTTCCTCAGTAGTTTAAAGCTCCGCCGTAACGTATAAATTTTGGGATCTCGAAATTTTCGAGATAATGGGAAGTACTGGGTGGGAGTTTTATCATTTCGGAAGAGGCTCATACAATCATGATAGAACTTCACTTACAAGTAAGTTCGTTTAATCATGTGATTGTATAGCGCCTCTTCCTCATGATAAAACATGTAGCTGTTTAAAGTAGTTACGGCGCTCAATAATGTGCATATGCATATTGCACTTGATTCATCCTTGATTCATCCATATTATCAACTGATAAGAATGAGTTAAAGTAAAATAATTATAAAATTATTTTATTATTGATACAATTGAAATTACAAATCAAGAATTAAGAATCGCGTTAGCAAAACTGTCTCTATTATTAACAATTATTTCTCGGTCATAGAATTTTTCGAAAGTTTGAGAAGTTTCTGTCCACCCTGCTGAGTACAAAATATCTATACCGACGCCTTTGCGTTTTGCAGTTGAAGTAGACGCGTGACGCGTAGAATGTGCAGAAAATATATAAATATCAAGACCACTTTTTTCTAATATGTACTTAACCCAATGACTCAAAGTTGAAGATTCAGCTGCTTTATAAGGTTTTTTGGAAGTGATAAAAAGGTAATCTATTCCATTTCGCAGTTTTTCTGTTTTTTCAATATACGCTTTCAGAGTAGACGCAGCACAAATTTTTTCATTGATTAGAAAGTATGGTAATATGAGCAAGGGTTGATTTCTGTTACGACCCGAAGTTTTTATTCGTTTTGGTATTTTAATGTGAATGGTTTTATCGTCTAGCTCTTCGATATTTTCTAATTCTATCAACGAAAAAGTTTGCATGCGATGACCGGTAATCAATGCCAGCAAAGCAATAAGTTTTCTTCCGAGATCGAGTACATTCAAATCGTTGTTGTTTGGTAAAGAGGTGAGATAATCGAGAACAATTTTTGGATCCCATGTGATGTCGTATTTGGGTTTTGACGGTCTCAAGTTGTAACAACCTTGAAAAAACCTCATAACTCGGTCGTCTTGAGCCATTTCTTTACCAACCAACAACGAGATAGCCGATCTATAACAATTAATTGTTGTGGAGGCTAGTTGGCGATCAAATAATTTGGTTAGGAAAATCAAAGTATGAGAAATGGATATTGCAAATGGATTAACGTTGTTATCAACGCAATAGGACCACCATTGTTTGAAACAACCTTCGTATTGTTTATAAGAAGACTCGGAAATAAATGCGATCGTAACTTCTAGGGCAGCTTTCGGAGTTCCCCTCAACTCGTACGCTTTCCGGACAAGATTCCGGCCACCAGGGTAACTTTGTTCCAAAATTGATCTAATTCCCTGTTAGCAAAGAAAATGTTGTGTTTAACTTGAAGTTTCAGAGGTTTCGATATTAGGAGTTCAAGGAATAATGGGTACCAGGGCTGAGCCGGCCACTCTGGTACGATCATTATTCCTTTTGCCTTTTCGTCTCTTATTTTTTGTAAGCATTTTAAAATGATGGAAAATGGCGGAAATGCATAGAAAAAATATTTTTTCCAATTTATAGTGAAAGCATCGATTGCAAAACAATCTGGATCTCTTTTCCAAGAAACGTACTTTGCGCATTTTGCATTTACTCGCGAAGCAAATAAATCAATTTCGGGGAAACCAAGCTTATCAATAATATATTGAAAAGCTTGACTTGATAATTGAATTTCTGAAACTGACTCTAATCTGCGTGATTCGAAATCAGCTACTACATTTTCTTTGGAAGGAATATAAGTTGCGAAAATCCAAATTTTTCTGTCTTCGCACCAAGACCAAATTGATCGCGTTATGTCATTAAGGTTTTCGAATTGAACACCACCTATTTTATTAATGTATGCGATGGCCGTAGTGTTATCAATGTGTAAAGAATTTGACAATGGTGGTAGTTATTTGCAAATGACTTGAGTCCGAAGAACGTCGCAAGTAGTTCCAAGTAGTTAATGTTTTCACACATTTCACTCTCTTTCCAATGCCCAAAAACTTTTTTACCTCCGCTAAAAGCTCCTCAGCCTGTCAAAGACGCATCACTAAAAATCTCAACTTCAAAAGAATTGTTTCTTATAGGTTGATAAGGTGTAAATGATTGAGATGTCCACCATGATAATTCATCGAGAATTTTAGTTGAAATTCTAATTTTCGCATCATAATCATTATTATTCCATAGAAGTGATAAGTACTTTTGTCTTTCACAGGCTTTTGTATGCACCATACCATAATTTACCGCCGGGCAGCACGAAACTAGGTAACCCAGTGTTTCAGCAAAATTTCTGATTGAAATGAGCTTGTTTTTGTACAATTTTTTAATGATTTTTTGAATGCACGAAACTTTTTCTTCGGGTAATTCAATCGTCATAGTATAAGAATTATATATAAAACCTAAATATTTACAGCATTGACTAGGTTTAAGATTGCTTTTGCGATAATTGATGATAAAACCCAGGAATTTAAGTAAGCAAATTGTTTCTTTAATATTTTCTTGACAAGATTCAAAAGAATTGCCGAAAATCAGAATATCATCTAAATAAATAACTGATTGAAATCCCAATTTTCGTAAATATGCTACTAAAGGTTTCATAATTTTCGTGAAAATAAACGGTGCTGTACTTAGTCCGAAAGGTAAACACGTGAATTCATGAAGTTGGCCATTAAAATAGAAACGTAAATATTTACGACAGGATTTGTCTATCGGAATGTGATAATATCCATCTGGCAAATCAATAGTCGCCATATAACAATCTTTCTCTATTAGTTTTTTAACAGAACGATTATCTTCTAATTTGAAATGCGGTGGCGATATAAATTGATTCAAATTTTTTAAATTCAAGATAAGACGATATTTCCCGTCTGGTTTTTTGCGTAAAAATATATCAGAAATATATTGTCCTTCCGTAAAATTGCATTGACGTATAGCACCTTTTTGTAAAATTTCAGATAGCAATAACAAGACGTTGGATTTATCTTCCACAGACCAACTGCGCTCCGTTGGAACTATTTTTTGAATTGGTATCACGTCAAACGGAATTTTATAACCGTTAACCCACGATAAAACAGTTATATCAGACGTAATTTTACCCCATTGAGCTCGAAAGAATTTTAACCTGCCCGCAACACGACTTACAGGAGCTACTTGTTGTGCCGACGAGGTGGCTGCTGCTGGTTGTCCTTCCTGAAGTTCTCCCTCCGCGACGAGTGGTGCGGCGAACTCTTCCTCTCGTGAGAGCTCCGATGGTAACTGCGCGGTCCGCCCGACGACGACCCGCGATTCGTCTTCTTCGGATAACGGGGCGGACCCTTCGAGTTTTTTGAACGTCCTGAAGATTTATTTTTAGGCTTCAACTCTTCGGACGTTACTGCGATGGCTTTAGCAGTTTTCACAGACTCATCGAGCTTGTCACCAAAGAGGAAGGCACTAATTTCCGTCTCAGCTAGCGGTTTTCTAACTGCGACGTTAGAGTTTGCGATGATCAAGCTTCGCCGTATGCACGTCTCGTCGTGTTGTAGATCTGCCATTAGACTGCCAACATCGCCCAAAATTTCCAAGAGAGAATTGTTGGTTTGCGATGCCTCGAGACCCATAAGCATTTCAATTGCTTTTGCGGTGCCGGCCAAGCAAGCTGAAATTTTGGATTGTTTAACAGCAATACGGCAATCACGAGCAATTACCGGTTCCGTAACAGATGACTTGGATTCTGGATTGAGCTTGGGTGGATCCCAAAGAGAGTTGTTTAGCGGCGTTGGATATAACGCTGATATTTCAGAACGTTCTTGCTCGGGAAGACCAGTTTTGACGATGTCGGTCCACCGTAAGGTTATCGGCTCGTTGACTGCTTCTGCGTATTGTTTGTTTTCAGTCACTCGTTTGCCCAGTTTCTTCACGATTTCAGCACGGGAGGTCAATTGGCTTGCGGCTGCATTGACGGGCTGGCCGCTTACGGACTCGTCGGGAGCGTCAGCTAATGTTGAATCGTCCGGTTTTCGCGCCGAGCCATCGTCTACAGGAGTCGGCACATGTCCATCGTGTGTGGCGGCACGGGATCGGTGAGATGCTCTCGACGAGCGCGACGAGGCACTGCTCGTAGAGATGACACTGCTGCGGGACGAGCTTTTGCTTCTAGCTGCAGATGAATCGGTCGCTATTAGACCATGTCTAATTTTGTGTCGTAACTTGATGTCAAGTTACGGAGCTTGTCGGTTAGCGCCGACAGCTCGTTCTGTTAACGTAATTGTGAGGGTTAGAGCCCAAACAAATACTGCGAGTTTCGACGATAGCCATCGCAATTTTTCGTATAGGTTAGAGCCCACGAAAAAATTATGATACATTGCAAATAATCAGGTTAGAGCCTGTTTGCAATTTTGAACATTGATGAATTTTTCCGCAACATGGGTTGGAGCCCAAGGGAAAAAACGCTGTAAAAAAGTTCGTCAATCGTACTTACAACGATGGTCGCGGCGGTCGCGACGGGCATGGTTCCTCCTCCCTTCTTTTTCCTCCTGTCTTTTTCGCAATTTCTTTTTCAGCCGATGAAGTTCATCCTCCAGACGTGCATCATAAGAGCTGTCTGAGAATGATGACGATGAGTATCGTCTTTTGCGACCCATTTTTACCAAGGATGATCGTGGCGAACCGGCCAGTTCGACACAAAACGAACGAATGAGGAAACGTCACCGCTCGCCTGATAACAAGAGAGTGCATGACACCAATACCTAGCTTCACAGCGGTTTGGAGCTTTTTACTTTGTGAAAATTCGGCCAGGTCGATAGGAATCGAAGGGACTACATGTTTTATCATGAGGAAGAGGCGCTATACAATTGATCTTTTTGCTTCAAGTGCTAACGCTAAATGCAAAAAATTTGTTTCATGGTTCAAAGATCCAGACTCGATAGCGATTTATGCATTTACTTTGTCATGGAGTAACATGCAATTTTACGCGTTTCCACCTTTCTCTCTTATACTCAGAGTTCTTTGAAAAATAATAATTGACAGAGCTGAGGGTATTGTCGTTGTTCCTTTTTGGCCTACACAGGCATGGTTTCCTGTGTACAAAACACTATCCGCAACACCTTTCTTAAAACTAGGTCCGGATCCTAAACTATTGACTTCTTCTTACAGCCTGACACACCCTTTGTCTCCGAAACTTACCCTGGTAGCAGCGCTATTATCATCAAAGCGTATACAAGAAAAGGAACTTCTATAGAAGCAGCCAATGTCATGTTAAAGTCAATCGCACCAAGCACTCTCCGTCAATATAAAAAACCGATCCGTCTATGGTGGCAGTTTTGTCAAGAGAAAAAACTCTCGTTGTTCGAGTCGGAAACTTCAAATATTCTCAATTGTTTCGCTCTTCAATTAACTCAAGTAAATTCGTTCAGTACTCTTAATATTTATCGAGCTGCAATATCGTTACTTATGAAAAATTAGCTTGGAATTGATTTGGAAATTAGTAGATTTTTTAAGGGCGTATCCAAAGAAAAACCAAAAATACCGAAATACTCGCACACGTGGGATCCACAAATTGCAATACAATTTACAATACAAAAAGAACGAGTACTTCTCAAGATTACCGACACTCTAAAGACATCTTCACACTCGAACACATTACCTCTTATTGATTTACCTTTCTTTCCGGAACAACCGAGTGTATGTCCAGCCACTGCACTTAATGAATATATAAAAAGAACCGAGAGTCTTAGACCTAAAGATAATGATCAACTGTTTATTACAACTAAAAAGCCTTATCACACTGCGTCAATTAATTCTATTAGAAGATGGATTAAATGTACATTGTCCGAAAGTGGTATAGATATAAACATGTTTTCTGCACATAGTACGCGACATGCTTCTACATCAGCTGCAGCGAGAAAAGGTTTAAATATTGAAACTATTCGAAAAGCAGCAGGGTGGTCCGAAACATCATCAACATTCGCTTTTACAATAGGCCTCTCGTTTCTAATGAAAATTTTGCGTCAAGTGTAATTGTATCGAATAATTAATACACATATCAATTGTTACTATTTCATAGTCTAGTGAACTATTTGTATTAATAATTCAAACGTTACTGACATCTTATATATTATTATTAAAAAAAAAAAAATCTAAAAATGATTGTTGTTAAATTGCGTACTTTAAACATCTACATATTAATCTACGAGGACGAGGCAGGTACAATTGAACGATCGAGTGAACTTACCTGTAAGTGATACTCGATCATAATTGTACAAACTGCCTCGTCCGAAATAGATCAAACCCACCCAAGATATTTGTTGAAGATCCCCATCCCTTATTTGTTGCGCAATTTAATGTATTATGCTTTGAAATTAATGATGAACTTGGCAACGAGACCACAGCGCTGGGCGGCGCTTGACAACGTGATAAACATCGGATGAGCATCATTTGTTTAGAATTTTACTTTAAAAAACTGTGGTCAAAACGCATAGACCTGGTGGTACTACATATTGATCTA